CTTTAAGTACCCTGATTATGCAACGATTACATAAAATGAAAACATTCGTCAATACATTAACTTTTGACGCTCTAATTAAATTTACTACATGGTTTTCTTTTTGTGATTGATCAAATTGATGAAAATCGAGACAGCTGAAAATGTTACTGCTATCGGTTCGATCCATTTTTCTTTGAAACATGTTTAAGCAGGAAATAGAAAAAAATAACAAAACGTTATAGAATATTTTTATAACATTTTCTAAGGTCATAAGAATTATCACCCCTACGTTTCCTAAAATGATCAGAATCGAGAATTGTGTTGCATAAAGTGAACGTCACTAATTGCAAAATTTCTTCCAAAACACGGTGAAGTGATAATACCAGGAAATTATCGCTCATGCGATATTCTTGGGCAACTACAGAAGGACCACAAATGTAAGACCAATTGGTCGTTCCAGGTATAGCTGGAGCGATACCGTGGAAGCGGACCTGCGCGAACTACAAGCCATCAATTGGCGAGAGACTGCACAAGACCGAAGAAAGTGGCATCATCACGTTTCGGAGGTCTTCATCCGGATTTCAGAGGATTTCATCACAGTTACGGGGATTCCAGCCTTCATCGCCGATGTCATAATAAATAAATATACTTATCCTTTCAAAACTTGTCAAAACGGCTCATATGAGCCCAAACACAAGGTAGCTGCTGTTGAGGAGTTCCCCTCATGTATCTGCCATTTCCATCTTCAATCAGCTCTTAGTCACCATAACGTTTACATTGGAATTACACAGCTGGCACATAGATAATCGCGTAAGGTACACACAAAAAAAAAAGCCGAAAAAAACCTACCCTTTTTTTTAGTCTGTTAAGACGATTGTAAATTGAACCAATGTGTAACATAAGCCGAATATGCACTTATCACAGAAGGAAGATGTTATTCGTGCAGCTTAATAATATTGACGAAGTTGGGCTACAGCCAAAGAGGCTGCAATTAAAATTGAAATCTCAATCAGGGACTTAGGAGAAACCTAGCTCTTATGAATAGGGTCTTAATTTTATATTGTATTGTATTTCTCTGCATTCAAGTCGAATAACATTATCTCTACATAGTAATTGAATAAATAAATAAAACGTTGTTATATAAAAAATAGTATTTGGCTATAAATTCAAAGCTCGTTAAAATAGAGGGCACTTTGTTTGCGGGAACAGTAAGTGATGCAAAAACATCGATTAGAACGATTAGGCCTGTAGTTCCACAAACATAAACAAGAATTTAGCAAATAAAGTAACATCCCGAACAATACAGTGCGCTGTTACACGAGTAATTGTAATAATAAATGAAATTGTAGTAATAAATTGTAATAATTAATGAAAATGCATTTGTGTAAAATGAATAATTAATTAAGTTATAACCATTGTCGTGCCCTTACAGGGTTTATGTGCTGGAAAACTATTATGTTACACCCCCGTTTAACCACATAAAGCAATGAATAAATAAATAAATAAATAAATAAATAAATAAATAAATAATTAAAAAGATACTTACTGTCATCTTAAAACTATGTGAGAATAACCCAAAAATATCTATACTATTTAGGTATTATTGTAGAAATCTAAACAGCGCTTAAAAAAACTATTTTTAGAGTAATTTGTAGTTCGTACTGACTTGAGAAGGTAACCTTAGATGTCACGACAATACAAGTTCCACTAGGCTAGTATACTTTATCGTTAATATAACAATTTATAACTTCAATATAATACCTATAAAGGTAAGAATAATGACTCGCCTCCATTCTTTTACGTCTCATTATGGATGTCAATCTCACCGTCTAGAGCTTTTTTCGTTGATGGAGATGGATGGGATCTCTTAACAACGCATGCCGAAAACAAAGCGGAATAAATGAAAGCTTCGCACCAGCGAACGTGGATTGCTCTTGATCTTAGTGTACGAGGAGAGAACATAAATGTTATTTTAAAAGATAATAGTGTAGTGGACTGTATTAATGGGTTAAAAGGTGGGTGCTAACAACGGGTGAGCAACGCCAACGCTAATGTACTTACAGTTTATATTACCTCTGCTCGAATTCAAAGTTTTCCCGTACTAATACGGTTCATTTTGGGTCCAGCGGCAGTGACACTGCCTTTATTTCAGAATTAATTTTTTTACAAACGAAATTAGAGCCTTTTGAATAACGTATATCGTATAGTGTACATGTTTTATTCAGTTGATATGTCCGCTCACGCGATGCGCTCCTCCTACCGCAAAATAGCGGCTATTTGGTTTCGCAAATTACAAAAGCATTCAGTTTAAATACAAGTTTTTATAAATAAAAATTATTATTCTGCATTGCTAAATAAATACCCTCCGTACTACCAACAAAAACATCTCAAATAAAATGCAGTAATACACCGCAAATCCTGCACTTAAAAAGCACTAATGAAATTTTTGGTGTACTTGGATAAATATTATAATATTCCGTTTGAGTGGTCCTAACGTTTACCATGAAATTACTCCTTAAAGTATAGTTTATAAACATTTATATTCAGGGTAAACTTAGAAAACGCTACTTACGGTATGTTTTCAATAAATAAACACCGAAATCACCAGCCCAAACATAACACACACGATTGTCGTGACGTATTTTTGAAGTTGTTTATTTTTTTTAAATGACAGACCCAGGCATTAAAAACTTTATGGTTTGCTAGAGTAGTTACCGAAATAGCAATTAATATTAGTTCTTTTACCTGTTATAAGTTCGATATCCGATAAATCGGTATAAAATCATCTCCGGCACCTCTAGGTGTGGTATGCGTCTACGGCCGCATGTATCGCGTGAGCGGGTGTGTGTATTTTTTTTGTATAGTGAAAGTTTTTAGGAATCGTTTTTTACCGTGTTTTTTACCGTGTATATCCTCAATTGTACTATATATTTTTTCCAAAATGATTGATTCAACACTTTCACTGTTATGCGAAATCAACCAAAGCCATTTGTGTTGTATCGACCTTAAACTGTGAAGCAACCGTTTTCTCACTATTCTTCTACGGCTTGTTAGTAACTTAAAGTAAAAATCAAAATTCTAACCAAAGTCGTCATTATGCAACTTGTTAGTTCACACCAGTTTCTGAGACAGGTGTCCAAAAGCGTGGAACAAGTTGTTATTAAAATTCAACCCGCTGTCATCCTAAAAGTTTATGCGGAATAATTTTGTAAATAGAGGTTGCAGATGTCAAACTTCAACGCGTCGTATGTACGTGTAACTTTCTCAAACATGCTCGGAAATATTTGCATTAGTTTCAAAAAACGAACACGGAAAGCTAGTCATGTATAGGCTGCGCGACTTCTTTCCCGCCAAAGCCTGCAAAGTAAGTATGAAAATCCATTACTGTCCACTTTTATAAACTTTTAAATTTATTTATTACATTGATTTACAATATTTATTACTAATAATGAACTACGTAAACCGGCAAAAGAAAAATTCATACAGCCAACCCAGTGTTCGTGATTGCGAGAATTAAAAATACCTAACTGTACTGCTTACTTTAAAAAAAAAAGAAAAGGCGGTAAAATAAACTAAAGTACTTTGGTATTCTTGTCTGTTTTTTCGTCTTTTTTGTATTTTCGTCGAAAAAATACTTTTAGAGAGACGGGCGATAATGAAAATATTAATTGGTTGTGCTCCACCTAATTTAAACAAGAGGTAATATTAGCCATGGGAAACTTCTTGCTGGCTATGAGCAAAGTTGAGATACATGAAAACTTATAAGATTTTCATGCACTGGAGAATCACATCATCAGAAGTTGTGCAGACTACTAATAGACTACTATAGACTACTAATATATCCTAACATGTTAAATATTACTTTTAGTGTTTTTTTTTTTACTTTTTTTATTATACATGTTCTTCTCTTTCGTCTTTTAGTATTTCCTCACAATGTTTGAGAAAAGCACTGTACAAGCCTCGGCGGGAACGGGGATGGCTTGACTCGTATTAATAATAATCCACGGTTAATGAGCCAGCGATTGGGGACTCCGCTCATCTTCGGAACAACGCAGCGCGGCCCGCAGCCCTGATCCGCCTTGTTTCTTCAGCATCAGGGCTTTCCCCTCAGGTTCGTATGGTTACACGGTACCGGTGCACGTCCGGGAGTACTTCCGCCTGAAGTTCCCACGGGGGATTACCCGCGATAAGTGTGGCGGTCGTCCACGATACTGTGCGGTACCCCCGGATCGCTCTCACCACTATAACTCTTTGCGGCCACCGCAGGAAGGACTTGAGTTGAGCGGTGAGAGCTTCTACCCAGATGGGTGAGCCGTAGAGGGCCATACTCCGAATTATTCCGGAGTACAAACGCCTGTAGATTGAACCCGGTCCGCCTACGCTTTCACATCAGCTTTGGGGTAAGTTGGGAGAAATGCGCCTTGAACGTCCACCTCCCATCCAGTACAAGACCCAGGTATTTCATCTGAGCCTTGACTGGGACCGTCTCCCCGAACAGGGTGATTTTGGCCCCTCTAGAGGGACCTCTGTGCGAGCTGCCAAACAAACCTTTTTTTTTGCTTGGGGAAATCCTCCTAGGATACCTCTCTGCCGTGGGGGCAGCGGGAGGTTATCGAGGTTAACGAAGCCCCCGCTCCGATCGCTCGCAGCCGCGAAGGTACGCCGCCGCCGAGCTGGATTGGCCCTCTCCCGATCACGCGATCTGCGACCTCCTTCTGAAACATCACTTTCGGATTCTACCGCGGCTCCACCGGTGGTGGTCCGCTTCTTCAGCGGACCCCTCCTCGACCTCCCCTCGGCGGGGAACCTCCACGGTGATGCCCCGGAGCATTAGGAGCATCTGCCGTCTGCAGTGGCCTGTGCAATGCAGGTGCAGGGCTTCCCAACCCTGCACCCCGCTGGCCTCTATGGATGGAAAGGAGGCTATCGGCGTAGGACCTCCTCGTCCGCCCTGGTCGCCGACGCCGAATCTGGTTCGCAAGAGAATTATCCTCGCGGACCCGTTCGGCGGTCTCCTTTTGCTACATGACATCTTCGCAGAAGGCGACCATTGCCTGCCACGACCTCACGCTTATCAGCATGGCTTTAATCACGCCAGGCAGCGAGAGATCACTTCCCATCTCCACCACGAAAGTGCTCCGCTGAGTACTCCAGTCTGGGCACACCTCTAGGGTGTGCTGCGCCGAATCACTTGCAGCTCCGCACGCGTGGCACTCCGGGGTCGCTTCCCTCCCGGCAAACTTGTGCATGTAATCACCAAAGCATCCATGTCCGGTAAGCACCTGCACGAGCCGGTAGGTCAACGACCCGAACTTCCTCTTCCTCCAGACGGTCAGGACCGGGTGCAGCGCCTGGATTGTGCGCGTCCCGTACCCGGCTGACTGAAGATTCTCCACCCACTCTCTCCGGGGCATGTGCTTCGCGGCTCGGTGCACCCTCGTCAGCTCCTCCGGTGAGGGGCGCTCCCCGCGATCCGTGGCGTCTGCCCGACACCGATAGGTCGCCTCAAGGACAGAAGCCTCGAGTTCCCACGGTGGGGCTCCGCCCAGGGCGCATGCCGCATCGCCGGACACCGTCCGGTACCCCCTTATGGCCCTCACCGCCATTATCCTCTGCGGTCTACGCAGCAGCGGTCTGGTTTTGGCAGTGAGAGCCCCCAGATAGGCGCCCTGTAAAGGGCCTTGCTCCGAATGACGCCAGCAAAGAGTCGACGGCATCCGGAGCTGGGCCCTCCCATGTTTAGCATTAGTTTGCCGAGCGCGGCTGCGGCGCTCACGAGTCGGGAGCACAGCCGGCGGAGATGCTCGTGAAAGTTCCACCGGCTGTCGATGGTAAGCCCTAAGTACTTGAGATGTGGGCTGACTCTCATCCTCCTACCTTCCACCTCCACCCAGAAGCCGGGCGGAGGCCCTCTACGAGGACCATGGAAGGCAATGACCTCCGTCTTCTCTAGGGCCACCGTCAGTCCTAGCTCTCTTATGCGACCGATCACCCGGGCGCACCCACTCGTGGCCAGCCGTGACACCTCCTCCCAGTACCTCCCCCGGGCGAAGACCAGGGTGTCATCAGCATAACAGATGACCCCCAGTCTCTCAGGACGAGAGCCTCGAAGCACGTAAACGTAACCGAGGTTCTATAGTAAGGGGCCCAATACTGAGCCCTGTGGAACCCCACGACCCATGCTTCGGTACCTCATCTCGCCGTACCGGTCGTGGCAGTGCGTGACCGCCTCCTTCAACACCTGCCGTATGCACGGCGGGCCTGATTACTGGCAGCGCGGAGAGTCGCAATCTCAGCGGACCACCAGTAAACCTGCTTCCTTTTTGGTAGGCGTCTTACACGTGGCATGTGAGGAAAATGCGTTACGCATTCCCCGCCGCTGGGAGACGGCGGGGATATGTGGGACTCTCTCCTGGGGACTATGTCGATCCCCAAGAGCATACCCACTAAAAACCTCACGATGTTCCTGCACGCACCTGGCGTCGGAGCCGCGGGGTCCCTTTCGGATGCTATCGCGACTCCGGTGGTGCTGGTCCGCCTTTGGCCGGACCCCTACACCATCTCCCCCTTAATCATGAGGCCCCCCATGGGGCACGGAGATGCCCCGGAACATTTGGGGCATCTACCGGCGGCGGAGGCCTGTGCAATGCAGGGGCAGGGTCTCCCAACCCCACACCCTGCTGGCCTCCGCTGATGGGACGCAGGCGGTCGGCGAAGAGCCGTCGCGTACGTCCTCTCCGCCGACGCCGAATGGGGTCCGAGAGGGCGCTATCTTCGCGGACCCGTTCGGCTGTTTCCTTCTGCGACATCACGTCCTCGCAGAAGGAGACCATCGCCTGCCATGACCTCTCGCTTCCCAACATGGCTTTAACTATGCTGGGCAGTGAGAGTTCTCATCCCACCATCTCTACGAGATCCCGGCGCTGCTGGCTCCAGGTCGGGCACACCTCCTAGGTGTGCCTCGCCGAGTCTGTAGCAGCACCGCACTCGTGACACTCCGGGGTCACCTCCCTCCGTGCGATCTTGTGCAGGTAGTCACCGAAACAGCCGTGTCCGGTGAGTACCTGAACAAGACGGTAGGTGAGGGACCCGTGCCTCCTCTTTCTCCAATCGGCCAGTACAGGGAGCAGCGCCTGGACGGTGCGCTCCCCGTATATGGCCGATCGGAGTGCCTCCTCCCACCCCGCCTGGACGGCGGTCTTGGCGGCACGCCGAACCCCCACTAGCTCCTCTAGTGTGGGGCGCTCTCCACGTGCCCTGGCTTCCGCACGGCACCTGTAGGTCTGCTCAAGGACGGACGCCTCTGGTGCCATGGCCATGCTCCGTATGACGCCAGCATAAAGCCGACGACGTAGGGAGCTGGGTCCTCCCACATTTGGCATAAGGCGCTCAAGCGCCGCCGCGGCGGACACGAGTCGCGGCGACAGCCGGTGGAAGTGCTCTTTGAAGTTCCACCGGCTGTCCAGGGTGAGCCCAAGATACTTTATATGAGGGCTCACCCCGACCCTCCTACCTCCCACCTCCACCCAGGAGCCGGACGGAGGCCCTCGACGGAGGCCATAGAATGCTATGACCTCTGTTTTGTCGAAGGCGACCGTGAGCCCCAGCTCCCCAATGCGGCTGACCACTAGGGCGCTTCCCTCCGTGGCCAGTCGCGACGCTTCCCCCCAATCCCGCCCCCGGGAGTAGACTAGAGTGTCATCTGCGTAGCAGACACCCAGTCCAACGGGGAGAGATCCTCGGAGCACGTAGTCATACCCGAGGTTCCACAATAGCGGGCCCAGAACCGAGCCCTGTGGAACCCCGCGGCACATGCTCCGCTCCCTTATCTCCCCGTTCCGGTCAAGGAAGGAGATCTTCCTCCCGATGAACTTAAACTAATCTAACCGAATCTAATCGTGTCTTTGCGACAAACATCCAACAAATCCTGAAACAACAACTGTTTCGTTATAATTTGGCTTTCGGAGTAATGACAATTCGAATAAACGGTATTTCGGAAAAAATAAATTCGAGTTTGTGATAGGTTACCTTTTCTTTTTATTATATGAATAGTGTTACGTAATGGGATTTACGCCAATATTTAATATAATAAATTGATTTATTATTATTATTATTATTTCAAGTTTGCCGACAAACCTCCGTAATCGGGGAACTTTTAACGAATACTTTGTCTAAATCCGTAGTAAATGGCAGAGTCTATGGTTGGATTTTAAAGCTTTTTAATTTCCTAATGGACAAGTTTCAAGTACCTTCAATTTTCCAACTTCACTCGATTTGGGATGAACATTTTGTATAATTTGTCACTTTAGCGTAAGTCCCATTTACACCCCATTACACGACCTACTTCCGCCGCGGGACGTGCAGGTTTCATCGCGATATTTTCTTTCAGTATTAGCGAGAGGTATTGCTATGAAACAATGCAGAGGCCTATGTCCAACACCGGACACTACAGTCGCGAACGACGAGGAGTCGCGAACACTACATGAAGAAGTTCGCAATAGCGAACACTACATACAGGGCGATAGTGAATTTAATTCAAAATCAAATACAAAAACCTTGTAGACAAAAGCTTTACATAATTGTAACAAAATTTTTATGAAATTGATATTCAATTATTTTTTGTGAAATTACTCCACTAGTTTGTTATAATTATTAATACAAAGATCGAACACTCAGAAAAAAATCCTTTAATCCGGCCGGATTCGAACCGACGTCTTCTAGCAAACCGTGCCACACGCTATACCAACTAAGCAACGGAACGAAGCAGCGAACCTCACAAATTTCTCTATGCGCTTGTTATGTCGGATCTTTACATTTGGTTTTCAACGACTTTTTAGCCGAAGCGCCATCTACGACAAAATCTATGCCGGTTAGATACCTTTACAGCTACCAGTCCCGGCTAGAGACGTCGCTATTCAATGTATTTAATTTATATTGAATTGATATTCAATTATTTTTTGTGAAATCACTCGACTAGTCTGTTAGAATTATTAATACCAAGAACACTCAGAAAAAATTCCTTCGATCCGGCCGAAGATACACATAGAAGTATTACTAAAAACGACTACGCTTAGTTGGCATAGCATCTTGCACGGTTTGCTAGAAGACGTCGGTTCGAATCCGGCCGGATCAAAGGAATTTTTTCTAAGTGTTCGATCTTTGTATGAATAATTATAATTGTAACTTTTTTACAAAAAATAACCGGCCTGTCAAGTTTGTGGAATTACGTCTATTTACCAAGTTTTATTGAAAACGATTAACGGAAAGTGGGTGAAATCCAGTACACCGGATTCATCCCCAAATTTACCGCCCTTAGAGGTGGAATATTTTCTTCAAATTTGAACGGAACCGCTACTGAGGTACCCCTTTCTAACAAAAAAAAGTATCATCGAAATCGGTTCAAAAGTAACCACTTTTACATAATTATTAACAATAACAATAAATCTTTATTCACAGCCATTAACATAGTAGGGAGCAAACTTATATAATAGTGCATAATTTAACAATGACTTATTGTTGACCAGTCAGTGCTAACTGTGCTAACGGATAGTACTGTTGTCAGTGTGTTGAAAGGTACTCCGACGTCCCAAGACCAGTACAGTACAACTGTACATTAGGGACCCAGAAAAGAAAGGGTAGAGTTTGAAAAACAATTAATGTGTTTAAAAGATACTTAATACTATGTTACTTTAGTAATAGTTAAGGAATGACCACCAACAACGCCAAGACCCATAAACAAAATAGAACCCTAATCGCACCATACCACCATACGAGCGTTATCTGGGGATGCAATAAATAACCATAAGGAAAAAAGTTTTTGCATCAATACAGATCACAGTCCGGGACTGCATCTTTAACTTAATGACATCCCGGCGACAGGCGAGATTCAAGAATATTCTCGGGGATCTACGTAGCAACGTGATCCCCATCCTCACCGGCTGGTATAAAGGATCACACACCGGTGGCAACGCCAGAGTTCACATTCAACAAGTGAACCGAACACAAGCACCGAATCGAAATAAAGAAGACCCCCGACTACCCGAAACTTACGAAGACACATACCTAGTTTAATGTAAATTTAGGAATATAGTGTGATAATGAATTTGGGGAGTGGGTGTTGTGTATTTGAGACTGGTTTGAAAGTGCGTATGTGCAAGTGAAATAAATGATGGTGTGATATAGTGGTGATTTTGAATGCTGACAAGGACAATCAGAGGCATCTTAACAGTATATTGATACATAAAATGGTCGGTTTGCAGATTTACGTGAAATAATACCCATTTTTTTTCTACGAGGCGGATTCTTAAGCAATATTTTCTTGATTTCGAAATGATGTCGCATTCGCAATAAACCAATGACGTTTCAGGTCCATGAACATGGCTGACAGCAGCCATTGTGTTTGAGTAGCAGTAGAGCTCCTTGTGAAAGAGTTCGTCCAGGGAAGTACTGCCACCTTACCTATTTCAGCCGCCAAGCAGTAATGTTAGCATTACTGTGTTCCGGTTTTGAAAGGTAAGGGTACTGATGACTCAGGGTGTCGGGCTCAGTGGCAGTGCCCTCAGATTTTCAATTTAAAGCTCTGAGTGGCACTGCAACTGTTATCGAC